GGAGAAAACCATCACAACCTTGGGTGGCTGGGCGTCTGCTTTACGGGCTGGTACTGGCTCTTCAGGTCCATCCTTTCCAGCAATGACAAAGCTGCGATGACTCAAATGCTCCCGATGTAAGGCTAGAGTGTAGCTGAGATGTTTGAGGTTGTCTTGGTGCTGGTGGTTGTAGTTGGTGATGTTGTCGATGTTTTGCTTCAGCGAGGAAGGGCAGTTGGCGGAGACTAGGAGCAGCGAAGGGGAACTGGTGTCTTGAGCTTTTTCATCGATCAGGCTTGCCACCAGACTTGGGCAGAATTCTTTGACTGTCTCGACAATCACCTGTTCATGGAAGATTAGAATCTCGATCAAGAGGGCTTGCCACGGAAGTTATAGCACCTACGTGAGCGTTGGCCCCTCCGATTCCAAACGAGTTGATGCTGATTCGTTCTGATCGGTCGACTGGCCACTGGGTTGGCTTCATCGGCACTTCCAACCGACCTTGCTCGAAAGGAACTATGCTTCGTCAGTCTCGTCACCAGAGAGAAGCTATTGACCGAGAATCTTACTGTTCGGAGCGGGGTTGTGGAACTTGATCTGGGGCGGGATGACTTTCTTTTCCAGCGTCAAGACCGCTTTGATCAAGCTCGTCAAGCCAGACGCCCCTTCGGAATGCCCGACGTTTGCTTTGACCTAGGCAGTGTCAGAACAAAAGGCGTTGTTGTTCTCAGGAGGCACACTCACTGAGCCCATTAGAATCCCTGCGCCGCCAAAGACGTCGGCAACCGCGATGGCTTCTTTGCGGTCACCTTCCTTGGTTCCAGTTCCATGACACTGCAAGAAAACCGATCAGCATCGTCACATGCGAGTCTGAAAGGGTTCGCTTACCTCAATGTATCCCGTGTCTTTGACATCCAATCCCGTAGACTCATACACAGACCGGATTAAAGCAGCTTGCGTGGCACTATCCGGAGAGATGAGACCATCGCGGCTATGGCCGTTGGCGTTGGTCCCAGACCCCCGGATCACAGCCCTAACAGGGTTCCCATCCCGAACCGCATCATCAAGTCTCTTGAGAAACACAGCATTAACCCCCTCAGCTCGCCCATACCCATCCGCCGCGGCATCAAACGGCTTGCAAGATCCTTCAGGCGAGAAGATACCCTCGAAGTCAAGATCTCGTACCCCTTCGGCGTCAAGATCAAGCTTGACCCACCAACAACAGCAGCAGCCGCATCGCCAGCCTGCAACACACGACATGCCTCGTGCAAAGCAACCAACGAAGCGGAACACCCCGTCTTGATAACCATGCTTGGCCCACTCAAGCCAAATTCGTAGGACACCCGGTTGGCGAGCAAAAGATCCATATGACCGACATTGTGTCCGCTCCCGCCCTGTAAGCTGTCCTTGGTTTGCATCAACAGCCAGTCCTCCCCGAAGGTCCCAATGTAGCACCCAATTCGCTTGCCTCCGTATTGGGTCTCTCCCGCGTTCTCGAGACATTCTCTCGTCACTTCGAGGAGCTGGCGAATCTGGGGGTCCATTCGTTCTAGCTCGGCCTTGCGGCAGCTGAAGAAAGAGGTGTCAAAAGCGGCGATGTCATGATCGAGGAAGTAGCCGTGTTGCGGGACGAGGCCGACGGAGCTGTGTTCTTTGCTGAAGCCGAGGGCGTTGAAGCGGCTTTTGGGGGTAGGGGTGCGCATGTCGCGGCCGTTGTAGAGGGCGTCCCAGAAGGAGGTGGCGTCGTTGATTCCGCCTGGGAGGCGGAGGGCGAGGCCACAGATTGCGATGGGGGCCTGGCAGGTAAGAGGGTCACTGTTGGAGGAAGGGGGAGTGGTGGGTCCAGTTTCGAGGGAGGTTGTGGTGGATGTGTTCCCGCCTTCTGAGGATCTCAACAGCAGGTTCCCATTTTCAGAGCTTGTGTCTGGATGGGTATTAGTGACGGCGTCGGTCATGATGAAGTCTGTACAGCGTTGGTCAAGAAGCAGTTGGGAAAGGCCTGGCGTCCACAGCTGAAAGAGGAAAGACCTTGGAATCCCCGGTATATGTGTCTTGACGAGGGTGTCCCTGCTTTTTCATCCATGGCCACTGAAGCCGCGCATCGTGCCCTCGCATCTGCCGGCGTCCGTCCCTGTGGCTGAAGAGCTGGCACAAGTTCTAAGCTTGTGAAATGTCAAAAGTTCATGATCTAATGGCGACTTCTTCTGCAGTCAGCAGGTTATGTGCTTGCCTATCACATCGATGATGGCCGTTGATTGGACTGCATGACATCCCTAGCCTTTTATCTTGACATTATGGAATGCGATCAGATGTTCCAAAATGTTGTTGGGTCGCCAAGGTGAGTAGTAACACGGGTTTTATGACATTCTGCATGATGACCGCAGGTTTTGGCTCGGAATTTAGGAGATCTAGTCCGAAAAGGGACAATTAGCTTCCGTATTATCTTGATGCTGAGGTTTCACAACAGAAATGTAGAGAACCTGTGTTCATGTCGGCTTGTGTTACCTGTGATTTGTAATACCTTGCGTCACCCAGGTAAGACCAGTAGCGCCCGTAGCAGCATGTTATGCGAACAGCTTTTCTCTTTCTCATTTGCCATCCTGATTCATTTCTCTCCAGTAGTATCAGCAACTTCGACCTGGCTTGATATTAATAACGTAGCTGCTTTTCAACATCTTGACTTTGGAGCAGAAGTTTGGCAAGGCGTACATGTACATTCCGGAAAGGGGGCCCTTGGTGTTACGGTGGGTACGAATGGTGCAGGGTTGGTGTCGATCGAACCGAGGGATGGGATGTCATGACCTTGCCAAGAGAGACGGTAGAGAGATGATTGAAGTCGGTGGGTGCTGATGAGAAGAGAATGAAGAAGTATTGTATCTCAAGGTTTTGTGTTGATGACTGCCTAGTGGGTGGAGGATCAAGAGAGGTCGGTTGGATTTGTTGAGTTATCAAAGAAAAGAAATATCGCGATCTTGACGGGCCGAGGCTTGAGATGGTCGGATATCAGGGCTGAGACTTAACAGTAATGGGAATTATGGCGTAATATTAATAATTCGATACAGCTGACAGGAGTCTTACCTGTGTGTGGCTGGTAAATCGCTCATCTCATGATTTGAGCTAACAGACTAACACTTTGATGGGTCACTATGGTGATTGTGATCAGTGGGTGTTTCCATTGTCTTGTATTCCACAGGCTGCGTCTGTTTGATGCAATCGATGCTGTTTGGCCTCCATGTTTGCTTCTCCGGGCTTGTGTTTTGAGCACAGTAATGATTTATTCTTTCATTGATATCTCTGACTGTGGCTCATGTTCTGGCATCTCTCATCCTGTCCATCGCTATTAGTACTTACGCACGTAGGTACCTAGTAAACCTCCCTGGTTAGACGTAACCACGGCGGCGATTCGTGGTGGTTTAACCTGTGTGAGGAATGCGGCCATGGAATCCTCTCATACGCTCCTGCAACATCTGGATGTGCCCCTCGTTGCACTGCTCTTGGCTCTGAACAGCGGAAACCTGGCGCTCAGACTCCTGAAAAGCTTTCACAAGCTCTGAGACTTGGTGTTGTAGCATCCGGCTTTTCATGGATTCATCGCTCCACCATCGTAGCACCATTGCAACTGCCTCGTCATCCGGGTCGCTCACGGAGAGGTTTAGGAAGAATGTCTTGGACATTTGAGTCGTATCTGGCGAGGTCGGGGGGCCATAGCTATGGATCGTGTTGGTTGAGGCGGACGTGTGGCTCTCTTTCTGATCGATCCCAGTCTGGATGTCCAAGGGAGCTTTGGGATTAGTCGCCAACAGGCTCTCGGTCAGAGTTTGCGTGCTGACAGTGTGCGAAGCGCGAGTGTCGAGACGTTCATGATAGTCTGAGGTGCTCCCTTTGGGATCTTGATGGCTCTGGCATTTGGGAACCCCAGCCATATCCTCTCTTTTCCCCTCCTCGGTCCCTGTGTTGAGCGAGTCGATGCTGGTTTCCATCGACCTGATTGAGCTTTCACGATGGGCAATCAACTTTTCCATCCCGTTGATCCTGACTTGAAGTAATTCAAAGTCTCGTTTTACCGCCAGAACACTGAGTTTATCGTCGGTCATTTGGTTTCTTAGCTCTTGGATCCCCTGTTCTGCCAATAAAGCGAGCTGATCCATGGTGAAGATAGGGCAGTGGACCAACAAGATGGGTAAGATACTGAGAGCTCATCGACTTCCCTGTTGGAAGGGTTCTTATCAGACACGGTGAGGCCTTGGTGACAGAACAAGTCGAATGGTTTTACAACGACGGGATGTGGAGATATTACTGACTGGTTTGGTTAACAAAGGAAAACTGGTGGCAGATAGGAGGCGGGTGGAACTTACCCCCTTTTTTATTCTATATATATCGGCATAGGATGCTCAAGCCGGAAAGATCGACCGGAAAGCTGGTCGAGGTCTTGTTGTGGTTGGCGAGACCCGATGGAGGGGCTGGAAAGGTGGTGGGCAAGTAGGTGGTGGGGTGAAATGTCGATGGTCAACAGGGTTAGGTAGAGGTTGACAGGTTAAAAGGTAGGTTGACTGGGCGAAGGTCGATAGGGTGAAATGTTGACAGGGTGAAAGATTGAGAGGGCGTGCAGTGGTGCTGCGCCCACCATAGGCAGTAGGTAGATGCTCCCATCTGTATCGATGCACGTCTGCTCTCAGTGATTGCTGACACCCGGCAACCTCCCAGTGCGAGCCCTCTTGTCGATGACTGTTTGCACTCATAGGATTAAATTTCTGCTACTGTCTCAATCTCTTCTTGCTGCTCCAACGTCTTCCAGTGCACTTTTCCGTCGGCCAAGCAGCCTTTTTCTCTCCTCACACTGCTTGCATCTCTCCCCTCAGTCTTTATCAACCTCGGCATGACATCGCAGACTATCATCATCCTCAACGCATACTTACCATTTAGCTTACCAGCGTCGCTGTCATAACCTTTCCATTCGGTTTCGTACCCTTTCAACGACAGCATCAATTTACTTCAATCAGTCAGCAAGCTAGCTTGCCATAATGTCTAGATTTCACGTCAGCAAAGGAGTCACCATGTTGGCCGATCCCTCTAATCACCGCACTGGCTTGGCCCCAGCTTGCTTCGACACCAAGACCTTCGACTTTGGCTGGTGGCCTTCGGTCCGCCACCCCGATCCATCCCGCATGAGACAGCGAATGCAGAGTCAAGCATTCGTCACTGATACTTCACCTTCGCGCGAATACCAAGTTGACTTCTGGCGCAGCCGGGCGACCTACTTCGCCGAGGCCGCTGATCAGTCATTTGTCCAGTGGAAGGCTGAGAAGAAGCTGAATGATGGCAAAGTGAGGCACCTCCAGGATGAGCTTGCCGGCATCAAGAAATCGATGGAGTCGTATGATATCACCATCATTGCCTTGCACGACAAAGATCAGAAGAACCAGGGATACATCGAATCTCTTCAGAACCAGCTCAAGGAGGCGTCTCCCCGACATGGCTCAACTGCCCATGGACTCGCGCCACTTACACCCCCTGCGGCACCCGAGGCGCTCTATCCAAGCAAGCACAGTGGCGACACCCCATCTCAATCCCAATACTCAACGGACGACTCTCAACGAGTATCCCCAGTCTCCTCTCCCATCTCAACCTCTCCTTCCTCAGTCTCGTCTCTCTTCACTTTCCCAGCCAGGAAGCGAGTCAACAGGAACTCAGGCAAATCTACTCAAGAGCCAGAAGCGACTATTAACTCTTTCAAGTCAGACCTTTCTTCCCTCCCAACACAAAAGAGTACACATCCGACGCCTTCGCCAGCCCCAACCCTGTTTGCGCTTCCGGACTACGCCACTGCACGTTCCCGACGGCGTGTTCAAGTTGGATGATTGTGTACGCCTTGGGACGTGGCATAGCGGGGATTTTAAGACCGAGGTCAAAGTCAGAGAGGACAGGGGAGGTTACTGTTTGGTTGTTGTTAGCATCCGAGATCGAGGAAAGAAGGATGTTGTCGGGCTTGGTGTCGAGGTTTGCCGTGGAGGTCTTTTGTGCCTTGGGCTACTTCCCGCTTGATCTTTCAGCTTTTCGGTGACAGGAAACTCGGGAAGTTCTCTGATGAGATTCAACGGCGATGAATCAATGTGTTGGGTTCCTCATGTTGGTCGACCGGATGGCGGAGGTAGGGGGGTCCATTGGGGAATTCGGCCGCGAGGTCAAGGGCTTGTTGGTAGTATCTTGTAATGACTTGCTTTAAGACATACAAAAGCCTCATTGCTAGACTTAGCTTTGTACCTACCTCGGGGTGTAAACGCGGCCGGATTGGGCTGTCACTGAACCGGGCAGCGGTGGTGGAGGATTGTCTGATGCTGTTGGCCTGATGACAGTATCCGATTCTCGCAAAGAGCACATGTCGGATGCAACGGGGGAGTAGCATGGCGGCATGCATCAGATTAGTGTATCGCGGCATACCGGTGTCGCATCGTTGCTAGGACGTCAGCGTATCGTAACAGCTCATGTCCCCATGTTTCGATGCATGCAGTTGGGAGTTAGTGTTCCCTCTGATTGGTACCACATCTCATTGGTTCGTTTCGAAGTTGTTCGCGATGATGTTACACAGTAATTATGCACTTTGTGCGACTGTCTCGAATACAAATTGGTAGGCATATCAAATCCATGCAAATCTGGCAAATAAAGGTGTATTACGACATGATTTGCAAAATGTTCCACGCTGGCGTCCGAGACTTTTCCGATTGATTATCGTCGTTTCACGTAGATATCCTCCAATAACATCAAGACCGGTGAACACCGACTCCAATGCCGGTAGACGTTGCAAATGCCGGCGAAAAGTGGGGCAATTGCCGTCACTGTCCGTTCCGATCGGCATCTGTGAGGTCACAGGTGGCTCCCTGTCAAATGTCCAACTTTGCTTCGGAGCGCCTGTCACATTCTCTTGAAGCCTAAATTGGTGACCATTGTTCCATTCCATCCGCTATTTTTTGTCACAATGGCTGCCAAGTTTGCTTGGAAACAACACGTCCAGGCCCCTCGGGAACCTGACAGTGAGCGTGTATAGTATACGACACGGAGCAGTGCAGCGGCTGTAACCATCGCGAAGGGCAGCATTTAATGGGCTGTAACGGGCAGGCAGGCTGTCATTGATCCCGTTCATCTGCCTTCGCCAAACACTGGTGACTGAGTCGTGTGGTAAGGGTTAGGTAAATAAACGTAATAAGCTAAGCAGTCTGCAAGGCAAAATACCTTAGCTCACAGCGGTCACCGGTCCAATGGACACGGTGCCTTTCTCACAGTCCTCGTCTCCATCTCCATCTTCCCTTAAACTGACCTTACCTCGGGAAGAATCCAATTGGGATGAATCGAATTGGGATCACTTTGCGCAGCCATCAACTTCTGCAAAAATGTTGGCGGAATTGGGCCCTCCGGACGACACGCGCAAACATCGCCCGCGAGACTCAGCCACGACCGAGTGACAAAGAGTCGTTCATCAGCAGAACAAAAACTTTTTTGTCGCAAAGACGTGGCAAGCAGCCACAAGCGTTCGGTTTTCTGAGGCGACAAGTGCGATTCATGACGGCAAGTAAAACATCCAGAGCTCAGCATGGCAGGGGCACCAGATCTCTGGCCATCGGCATGTTCCGAAGAGGTCAAGTCGATGACGATCCATCTGCAGAGCGGAGATGCATGCTTGATTCAACGTCTTCGATTGGCTGCCCCACACTCAGGCCCTTGAGCCAATCCCATCGTTTGATTTTTTGCGAGGCCTCCCCCTCTTCTAAATTCGGGTACCGTTTTGTTTCGGGGCCACGAGATCGGGTCTTCATCGTCTAGTCAGTTTGGTTGGCGGCGCTGTCTGTCAATTCCCCAGCTTTGTATGGAAATGGCCAGACATGAGGTGCAGGTCGTGCCCCCCGCGAAATAAAAGACAAACGGTTAGGCGTCAACTGCCAAATATACCGCTCAGATGACCGCGCGGAGCAGCGGATAGTTCCAGGTTTCGAATAAACTCGAGTGCCAATTCGGCCACGTCGGTCTAGAACAGCTGTCCTGCATCGTGCCAAGTTCCCGGGCACATTGCTTGGCTCCGTCTTGGACACTGTGCAGCTCTGGGCCTCTCAGCGTCATTGGTGGACCGTCAGCGCTTCCGCCACACCGCCGCAACGAATGGACGGCAGAGCTCACCGTTGCTCATCCCAGTGCTGAACACTGTGGGGCCGTTGCATGGGTCCATTGCTTGTCGAGCTTGTCTGTCCCTGCCAAGGGACGGGAATTGGGGCAGGGCAGTTCATCACAAGACAAGGGCCCAGCAACAACTGATCTCTTGAACAAGCCGGAGGGCGGCAGCTGCTGCTCCCTCTGGGCTGGGGAGAGTGTGCCTTGTTTTTTTGTTGTTCCCTTCCACAATCTGCCCACCCGGCAAAATCCACATGCCATCATCGTGCGAGCCCCGAGCATCGTGACGGGACGTGGCTGCCTCTCTTCTTCTTTCTCTCCGATTGTCTTTTTATTCCTGCAGCCTCCAGTTTCGTTTCCTCTGGGCAACACGCATTGCGTCATTACTGCAACACGAAGCCCAACTTGGTAATTCTTCGGCCTACAACACATCGCGGGGCCCAGATCACCCACCCACCTTCACCACCCTCTCCCTTCATTGATGTGTTTGCCCAATTGACGAGCAACCACGCCATATCATTTATCTCAACACATCAGCAACAATGGCGGATCCTGATCCACCAAAACATGAGGTATGTTATGTGTAGAATATCTTGTTTGCGCGTCGTGATCAAGACCACTGACCGACCCTGTGCTTGCAGTCGGCCGGCTTGAGTCCCGCCACCAAGGAACGCGATGCGCCCAGCACCGCGACCACAACAACCGGCAATGGCGACCACAAAGCTAGCTCAAAATTCCACCTCGATGTCGAAGACGCCCTGACGCCCGACCCGGGCACCGAGGACATGTTCATTGTCGAGAACAACAAGTTCGCCTACTCCCCCGGACAGCTCGCCAAGTTCTTCAACCCAAAGAGTCTCAATGCTTTCTTTGCCGTCGGTGGTTTGGCTGGGTTGGAAAAGGGTCTACAGACAAACCGCGAGGGCGGTTTGAGTGTCGACGAAACCTTGGTGGGCTCGTCCGTTGCCTTTGAGGAGGTCGCGCCCAAGGGCGTGCCAAAATATGGATCTCATGGCGACACTGAACCCACCGTCAAGGGCGACAATCCGGCCGCCGCTGCCGCTGCTGCCAATGCCACAACTTCAACTCACGATGCCGGTGGCGCCTTTGCAGACCGCAAGCGCATCTTCAAGGAGAACAGATTGCCAGAGAAGAAGAGCAAATCGCTGCTGCAGCTCGCCTGGATCACCTACAACGACAAGATCTTGATCTTGCTGACGGCCGCCGCCGTTGTATCGCTTGCGCTTGGTCTGTATCAGACCTTTGGTGTCACTCATGAACCGGAGCCGGTTGCACCGGGCCAGCCCCCTGCTGAGGAGGGCGCCAAGGTCGAATGGGTCGAGGGTGTGGCCATCATGGTCGCTATCATCATTGTGGTGGTGGTTGGTACGCTGAACGACTGGCAAATGGAACGGCAATTCAACAAGCTCAACAAGAAACACAACGATCGCACCGTCAAGGTTATTCGCTCCGGCAAGTCTGCCGAGATCTCCGTCTTTGATATTGTGGTGGGTGATGTCATGCATCTGAGTCAAGGTGACATGGTGCCGGTCGACGGCATCTTCATCAGTGGGCACGGAGTGAAATGCGACGAGTCTTCGGCTACTGGCGAATCAGACCTCTTGAAAAAGGTTTCGGGCGAGGAAGTGTACAGGATCCTCGAGGCCATCTCGAGAGGCGAAGAGGCACCACACGACATCGAGAAGCTCGACCCATTCATCATCTCCGGCAGCAAGGTCAATGAAGGCACTGGCACCTTTTTGGTCACAGCTGTCGGTGTCAATTCTTGCTACGGACGCACCATGATGTCCTTGCACACCGAGACCGAAGACACGCCTTTGCAAAAGAAGCTCAACCGCCTGGCAGATGGCATTGCCAAGTTTGGTGGTGGCGCTGCTTTGCTCTTGTTCGTCGTTCTTTTCATCAAGTTTCTTGCCTCCCTCCCGGGCAGCCAGGATACACCCGACCAAAAGGGCCAGACCTTCCTCCGGCTCTTCATCACTGCTGTGACGGTCGTCGTCGTTGCTGTTCCCGAGGGTCTGCCACTGGCTGTCACCCTGGCACTTGCTTTTGCCACCACCAGGATGATGCGCGACAACAACTTGGTGCGCGTCTTGAAGGCTTGTGAGACGATGGGCAATGCGACGACAGTATGCTCCGACAAGACCGGTACTCTCACACAAAACAAGATGACAGTGGTAGCGACAACACTCGGCAAAAGTATCAGCTTTGGCGGGACCGACGCCCCTCTGGATGACGACCCTGGCATCAAGACCGAAAAGTCCGCTGCCAACACGGTTCCCAACGTTCCGATTACCGAATTCACCCAGAGCTTGAGCAACACGGTCAAGAGGCTTCTTGTGCAGGCAAACGCTGTCAACTCGACTGCTTTTGAGGGCGAATCTGAAGGCGAGAAGACATTTGTTGGGTCCAAGACGGAAGTTGCGCTGCTTGTCCTCAGTCGCGATCACCTCGGCTCCGCCCCTGTCCAGGAGGAGCGGGCCAATTCCAACGTTGTCCAGGTTGTCCCTTTCGATTCGGCTGTCAAGTACATGGCAACCGTCGTCAAGCTCCCCGACGGCAGGTTCCGCGCATACGTCAAGGGTGCCTCCGAGATTCTGTTGGGCAAGTGCTCCAAGGTTATCGCCGATGCCAGTTCCGAGGAGCTTTCCGCCGTGGACATGACGGAAGACGACCGCGAAATGTTCGCCGAGACCATCACTTCATATGCCGGCCAAACCCTCCGCACAATTGGATCCTCGTACCGCGACTTTGAGTCCTGGCCGCCCCCGGAATTGGCTGGGCAGACGGAGCTCACAGCGGCTGAGTTCGACAAGGTTCACAAGGACATGACACTCCTTGCCATCTTTGGCATCAAGGACCCCCTGAGACCCACCGTCAAGAAGGCTATCGAGGACTGCAAGCGTGCTCACGTCAAGGTTCGCATGGTCACAGGCGATAATCTGCTCACCGGTCGCGCTATCGCCAAGGAATGCGGTATTTACAACCCCGAGGAGGGCGGCATCGCCATGGAGGGCCCCGTTTTCCGTCGCAAGACCCCTGAGGAGTTGAAGGAGCTCGTACCCAAGCTCGAGGTGCTCGCCCGTTCCAGTCCTGAGGACAAGCGTATTCTGGTCAAGACGTTGAAGGATCTCGGTGAAACGGTTGCTGTCACTGGCGACGGTACCAACGATGCCCCGGCTCTCAAGATGGCTGATATCGGCTTTGCCATGGGTATCGCCGGTACTGAAGTCGCCAAGGAGGCTGCCGCTATCATTCTCATGGATGACAACTTTGCTTCCATTGTCAAGGGTATCAGCTGGGGTCGTGCGGTCAATGACGCCGTCAAGAAGTTCCTGCAGGTATGTATGCTCCTCTGATGTCTCTGTTGTGTGATGATGAACAACGCTGACATGTTCCAAAGTTCCAACTCACGGTCAACGTCACCGCCGTGGTCGTCACCTTCGTTACAGCAGTTGCCAGCGACAAGGAAGAATCCGTCCTCAACGCTGTTCAACTTCTTTGGGTCAACCTCATCATGGACACGTTTGCCGCCCTTGCCCTTGCCACTGATCCTCCCACCGATTCAATTCTCAACCGCGCTCCCGACAAGAAGACGGCCCCGCTGATCAACACTCGCATGGGTAAGATGATCATCGGTCAAGCCATCTGCCAGCTCGCCATTACGCTCGTCCTGCATTTTGCCGGTCCCACGTTGATGGGCTACGATATGACCAACCTCGATCAGCAAGAGCACATGAAGACCCTCGTGTTCAACACGTTTGTCTGGCTCCAGATCTTCAACCAGCTCAACAGTCGCCGTCTTGATAACCACCTCAACATTTTTGAAGGCATTACTCGCAACCGGTTTTACATCGTTATCAATCTGATCATGATCGGTGGCCAGGTCCTCATCATCTTCGTGGGCGGTGCCGCCTTTGGAATCCGTCCTCTCACCGGAAAGGAGTGGGGCATGTCTATTGGACTGGGTGCCATCTCCGTCCCCTGGGGTATCCTGATTCGCAAGTTCCCTGATGCGTGGGCCGCCGCCTTGACTCCTCACATCAAGTTCCCCAAGCTCCGTCTCCGCAAGAGCAAGAAGAAGGATGACTTGGAGAAGACGTCGGAGGATGCTGAAGCGCAGAAATCAAAGGATATCGCAACGGATAGCGCGAGCGAACGTTTTGGCCCGCCATTGAGGACGCTGACTAGTATTCGCGGCAAGCGGGCCTCGACACATATTCGCCGGGGTTTCAGAGAGTACATGCACGACAAGAAGACGCAAGTCAAGGACAAGGTTGCCGGAGGGAGCACCACCAATGTTGCTCCCGAAGGGGCTGCGCCAGTGAATGGCACAGGAGGGGTTGCAAAGAAGGCCTAGGTGGACTACAAGTTTGGGGATGCCTCCTGAGCCAGGGGGGTTTTCGATAATGGCGGGGTTTTTGTGTTGCGTGCGAAAAAAGGATACGGACTCGGGATGAAATTTTGTTTTTTGTTGACATGGGCTTAGCAGGTTTTGTTGTTGGGAACACATACATACGGATACCCCTGGTTTTTTTCCGTTGCTTTTGCGGTGTGGGTTGTCGGATGAAGGAGAGATGAATCTGGCCGCTGCTGTTTTATAGGTACTTGATGGTAGTACGGCTTCTTTTAATGACGTCGCTTTTGACGCTTCTTTGTGTAGTGCCAGCGGATTGGTATCTTTGTGGTGGGTGGGATGGGATGGGATGGGATGGGATGGGATGGAATGGGGATATGTATATAATGAGTGAAAAGAAGTTTTACTTGGTAATGTGATGGTAGGTAGTGAGATGCCACGTCGGTGACGAAATTTATTTGTGACAATCCAAAGGTGACTCGGTGAGCTTCTACATTCAACGGCCCCCAAAAAAAACCACCTGTTTGTGGATTTAAAATCCAGAAAACTCACAGGATAAGGAAGAAGCCTGTCAAAGTTTCTACACAAACTTTTGTTGTTTTCCAGGTTATTAAGAGGTTTGATGGTGTGGTTGGGAGTGGTTATATTGCGGAAGGTTAGAAGTGCTATTGCACAAGTAATTTTGTCGCCCAGGTAGAATGCTTTGTTCCGTCTGATGGGTTTATTCTTCCTTGCTGGGATGATGTTCAAGGCGCTGGGTGAGAGAGATTGGAATAAATCGAAAGGCCCTCGTGAACGCTACTGAACTTGGCATCTTTTGTTGCTGGGATAACAACATCCCGCATACCAACACTCTAACCGTTCCTGTGCTGTTGACCTCAGTCCTATCTGGCGGTAGGATCGTACTTGATGCTACCCGCGCATGTTTTCTTCCCGCAGTCGACCGCCCTGTAGGCTGTGACCTCTTTTTTGGACCCGTCCGGGTTGGTTACGGCTGTGGTGAACTTTCCGGTGGAGCACCTGTCACGGTCAGTACTCAACACAGGTGGGTGTGGGGTGGTGGTAGTAGTTACATGGTGACTTTTGGATACTGTTATTACTCTGGTTGGGAATGTGTTGAAGGAGGTTTGGAAGCTGATTGGAGATACGAAGGAGAGAATGAGTTTGGGTTTTGGGAGAAAGGTCTTGCTTTTTATAATTGATGGTATACGCCTGCTCGGACGTCATTAGGGTGCTGGGTTGTCTTTTTGTCTGAGGCTTTGATAAGGCGTTGATGCCCGCCCCGGGCGAGGCGAGCGGCGCTTGCTGTTTGGGGAAAGGGGGATGACCATCATGTTGTTGGTGATACGGAAGCCGGGCACGGAGAAGGTGCACTTTTGTAATTCATTGGGTGAGATTGTCCTGGTGGCTGGAGCATTGAGGCTTCTGCGGTTCAGAAGAAAGAAGGAAACTTTGAGCAGAAAGATGATCGAACCGGAAATCTCGAGCCCATTGTCGGATCCACTTCTTAGGCGTAGCATAGTCTGTATAGGTGAGCCCCTTACCACTTGACCAAGCTGCCGTTGGGTGGTTTCGATGTCTGCTCCTGCCGACACTCGGCCCTTGTGCGTTGCTCGTGCCTGTTGCTCTGGGAGGACAGGTGCGAGAGGCTCATGGTACAGCAGACGAACGCGATGTGAACTATGGACGTTGAGGTACGTGACAGCTGCCGACGAACGGAACTACATGGGGTTTAATTTTGCGTTCTCATTAGAGAGCTAGAAGTCTCAAGACATTCCGCAGAGTTGTAATTCTTACCTTCTCAGTCTTGAAGGCAGCATGATCGGCAGACAAGTCGGCAACCCCCCGGCAGGTTAGCTAGGCAGATCTTTCCCCCTCCCACATGAGGAAACTCGCAAGTCCTGCCATCTAGAATCTAGAACCCCACACTACGATCCAACAACAGACGCCCCGTTCCGATACCAAGAAGGGCTAATGTAACGCCAGTATGACAAGGCTGATTGCCGAGACTCTTTTTTTCACGACAGAGACGTCTGCGTTAGATGCCGAGGAGAACATGTGGTTGGGATGCTGTGTAACAAGCCACATGTGGGCTTCATTGGAGGGCGCAGGGTCTGGTAGCTCAAAAGGAGGAGATGAGTAAGCGTCTACCACACCACCCAGGTGAGGGGCTATTTATCTGTTGATGGGAAATGTGTTCGGGGCATTGAGGCCCGGAATCGGATAGATTTCCTGAGGGGGAGAGAGTTTGGTACGGGGAGAGGGAGGTCTGATAGGTCGAGCCGCGTGGGAAGGCATGTGGTGAAGGGGTTCAGTCATGTCAGATTTTCTGTGTGGATGGAGGAGAAGGGGTGAGCTGTGAGATACTACCCATTAGTTTTGTGGCGGACCAACAGACGGGACTATCGCTTTGTGCATGATGGCTTTTGGTTGATGTTGGTAGTAGCTACTACGTGTGACTCCAACCTCCATGTCAGATATTAACTAGCCACCCGTGCATGGACATAAATTGGTCTTTTCATCCATCCCCTCTCTTAGCCGCCCCTCTTGTTTGCTTCCCACTTCCTTTCTTCACATCTTCTCCGCAGCAAAAGACGCCCCACCCGGTGACCATCATGAACCTCCTCCTATCCCTCTCCCTCCTGGGAGTAGCAGCCCTCTCCAATCCCCTCCCCCAACCCGGACCAAACCCCAACGACCCCAACGACCCCTTCCCCCCCCTACCCCCCGACCTCACCTTCGACGACATCGCCGAGTTCCCCACCTTCAACGGCACAGGCGCAACAATGCTCCGCTTCGGCTGCCACCAGCTCGTAATCGACCGCATCGACCCCCTCGTCAACCCCCGCGCCGTCCCCTCCCCCCACCAGCACCAAATCGTCGGCGGCGACGCCTTCGACGCGTACATGCCCCTCAAGGACATCGCCAAACGCTCCTCCTGCACCGGCTGCTCGTACAGCGACGACTTTAGCAACTACTGGACTTCCAACTTGTACTTCAGAGCACGGAATGGTAGTTACAAACGAGTCAAACAGATTCCGAATAACCTGCAGTTTAACGATACTTTTGCCACGCAGACGGAGGGGGGGTTGACGGCGTATTATGTCAGTCCTGGGCAGGGGGAGCAGGGGGTGAAGGCTTTCAAGCCGGGGTTTAGGATGTTTTTTGGGGATGCGGCGCTGAGGGCGAGGCCGACGACGGGGTTCAACTTGAGCAGGCAGACTTGTTTCAGGTGTTATACTGGGCCGGGGTTTGAGGGGGATAATCTGCCTCCGTGTCAGGATCCGGCGGTGGATAGTTGGGGGTTGCCGCAGAGGAAGTGTTTTGGGATTAGGAGCAATATCCTGTTTCCGACGTGAGTCCTCTTTTCACGCCCTTTGATACTCTTGCCGGCTTCGGCGTCGGCGACTAACAAGACCAAAGCTGCTGGGACGGCGTCACACTCGACACTCCCGACCACAAATCCCACGTCGCCTACCCCCTCGAGGGACCCCAACCATTCAGCGCCTTCCGCACCGCCGAAGCCTGTCCTCCTTCTCACCCGGTCAAGATCCCTCAGGTCATGTTGGAGATCGTCTGGGACACCACCCCCTTCAACGACCCTGAGCTCTGGCCTGCCGACGGCTCTCAGCCGTTTGTCTTGTCGACTGGTGACCGCTCGGGCTACAGCCAACACGCGGATTACGTCTTTGGGTGGAAGGGACAGGAGCTGCAAAAGGCGATGAATGCCGGCTGTGCGGCAGCGAATTGTCCCGGGATCAAGGTGCAGAGTTTGAAGAAGGCCAACAAGTGCAAGGTGAAGCCGTTGGTGAAGGAGAAGTCCGAGGGGTGTAAGTTTTGTTTCTTAGACACTGTATGTGACGTGACGTGGAGCTGACAACACTGGACGATAGGGTTGAGTGCGTTGCCTGGTGGGATTCAGGCTCAGTGAGATGTAGTGGCCATCTGAGTTTATGTGACCGGGGAGAAGAAAGCTCACCCATAGTTTCAAGACTTTGCATCACCCATTGGTGGCTGGATTGCGTGGATGTGAAGATGTGTGAATGACTGGAGTAATGCTCCCCAGTCCCAATCTTCCTCCGCCAGAGGAGGTACCTATGGAGCGGTCCCTTCCACACATGCCTGGACCGAGCGCTACCTCGATTACCACCCCACACACACTAACATATAGACAACCATTCTATCTCCGAACGCCCACAGCTCAAGGTTACATGCCAGGATTCAACCCGCATCCGATAGCTATACCAGGCCAGGGCTCCAAGAGCCAAACACTCAGCTGAGGAACATTCGGGTGAGTTAAAGCCCATCACTTCCCAACTCGAGGAACCTCCTTCGCTACACACACCCATTTTAAAGCCACCACGTGCATTTGCCGTGCCCTTACTCCAGACCAACCGGACTCTGCCAGCCTCGTTCTCAAGAAACTCACGGATGCAGGGCCAAGATGGATCGTGAAAGGCCGGAACGAATATCGGAGTTCACCCCGTAGCTATAAGCCAATTGTTACTTGTCTGATGAGGGGGCACGTAGACATATATAACACGCCCCCGTCTTGGCACTATGAAGTCATCATGACACCAAGAATTTGATGCCTGGGCGATGGATAGGATCTCGGTTAAGATTCGGGATCGATCCACTTGATTGGTATCCAAGTACCTGACCAAACCCCAAGGGGACTTGTTAAGATTTCCACTCGTTTTGAGATGGTGGAATGGAGGATCATTTCCTCCGGTGTCCGAAAGCACGCGGGGGAATCATCGTCCCATGTGGTTCCCGGATTTGATCAGTGTTTCACTTCATCGATGTTTCCACTTTTCTTGCTTTGCCCTTGAACCCTGAAGTGCGCTATTCGAATCGCTCATGTTGAACACCACGGGAAAGGAAGGATGGGAATTCATGGAAAGCTGGTTTGTTGCATCCATCCTCCTGACTTTTGATGAGGGGGGGTGGTGGAGGGGGGGAAATACGACGGTGAGTCGGCAATTGGCTCTCCTCACCGCTTCCCTCTTTTCGGATATCTTCCTTCCCGTCAGGCCTCACCACTGCTACCCTGTGCGTGCGGATACGGTGTTGCGAGCGAGCGAGCGAGCAGAGAATCCCCCTCCCCCGGTGGACTACAAGGCACCTATCACGGATATCTTTATGGCAGCTGGAGGGGGTGTTTGTCAGAGGCCAGCTGATGTGCTGCAAAGGAGGGTCTTGGGTGTCATTCTCGGCTGCGCGGCTGGTGCTGGGACCAGGCTTGCTGCCCTGGGCTGGCTGGCCACACACACGGCTTCCCGTCGTTGCATCACGCACGCCCTGCTTCCACCACTGCACTGCGAGGCCCCCCTCCGAGACGCAAGCAACACTTGCACTGCAGGGCGGGCATAGCCGCTCTCGTGTCGATGTATCTTTACATACTTCGTACGGAGTATGCACCGGCGTTTATCCGGCCGATGAACTGCCCTTCTTGTCCTTCGAGACCTATGCGCTGTTTTCGCTTCCGCGACTTTCTTCTTCCATGTCAATCACTCGTTGGTCGCGGCTGCTCAGGCTAACTACCCGATGGATGCAGTGTCATGCATTTTATTACACTACACCGGTCAGCGATGATGATGGTGTGTGTGATGAAAGCATCGGTACAGTGTCGAGAGTGTTGAAAAGCGCAATGCGGGTGGAGGCAACCGAGATGTAACTAATAAACGGAGTGAGCCGACAATGACGACGCCGCAGCTGCGGGCTCCGCACTGGCGTTTGGTGCGCGGCACCCACCCGGCCGCCCGGTTTTGGGGGAGAGGAAGGGGGACAGAACCCCACCCAAAGCTTATTAACACCACTAAGTTAATTTGCTTGGGGCTAGCCAGGTACACTGCAACTACCTTAGTCAGGGGAAGGAAAGTGGAAGAACAAGTGCTTTTGTTTTGCGCGCAAAAAATAGAAAAAAGTAACACAAAGGTAAAAATATACACTCTACATACGTGGGGGTAGCGTCGTGGCCAAGAAGAGAACAACACAATGTGAAACAAACACAAACACTCCCCCAGGTGGTGTGCGCAACAATGCCCTGGGAGGGATTTGGGTGATTGAGTAATCCAAGCCTGTGTGTGATCTGCTAGTCGCCGCCGGCAGCCCACGCCGAGCTAATCCCCACTACTGCCGGGATTCTTCGAGCCCAGGGGGGCGGGGGACTGGCCGCCGGGGACCCGGAACCTCTCTGGAGAGGTCACGGATCGCCCGGACCGGTGTATGCGCTGCGAATTACCTCGAAACACACATTTTCTTATTTTCCTCTCACTCACCCACTTGTCACCACCAGCCCTCCATCCCTCCTCCCTCGCATACACTACCACTACACCATTCAGACTATCCAACGGCGAACAGCCATCTTGGCCGATGCTCTGATTGATCAGGTACGCTACCTCGGAACATCCTAGTGTGCGAGTCTAGCGCGCGTAATCCCACGGAGCAACTGGGACCATTCTGGGCTGTAGCAGTGCAGCAGAGCTCACCCGCCCCCCCTGAGGTGTGCTGCCCGCTGCCGCTGCCGCTGCCTGTGTGTGCTGAGGGCACCACCCCAACGGCAACCGGGATGGCTCCGCGGTCCAATGGCGGAGGACGGGACCTGGAGGTGTCGGATCGTTCGGTGAGGAGTCCGCCCTTTTTTCTTTTCTTCGATTCCCAACTCCCAGCGGTTGTCGGTGGAGGGGTGGCTTGGGGCCAGACCAGAACAAGGCACGAGCCGACCACTGAGAACTGACAGTCACATCTCAGATTTCTTCCTCCAGAGGGGCAGCACCAACAGCGATGGATGACCTGCACAGTCCCCACCATTGGTTGGTTGTGTCAGCCAGCTGGGGTTCCACTCTGATGCCACTGTTCCTGGGACTCCCCCCGGCGTATGCAGGGCTACGAACATGGCGTGTGCACACGGGGAACTAACCCAGGTCTCCCGGGGGCTTGGTCACACGACGGCCCAATGTCCTCTTTTGGTGGCCCTCTCACGTCTCTGCTACCTCTGTCACCTCTGGAGCAAATTCCGAACCCCCTGACAGACACTACAGCATACAGCACGGCACTAGACACCTCTTGGGCTCCATTTCCCGCTCGAGGTCCTTGCTTCTGTTCAGATTTGCTGATCCGATTTTCTCTCTTGTTCACGAGCACCGAGCACCAGGCGGCCCCTGCGTGTCATATTTAAGTGGGTGAATGGTTGATGGAGGGTGTGTGCACAAGAACGAACCCACTGCCCTGGCTCGCCCCCCCCCCCCCCGGGCTGACGGATTGCTTGGGCTGAGCCGGGACAGGGGTTGCAGAGAGGCGCAACGAGAAAATTGAACAAAATGGGCTCAGGGACCCAGGTCATCAAATTCGCTGATCTGCTCTGCTTGCCATCCGTCCCTCGCCCGGCAAGTCTTAAATACCCCGGGGCGGAGCCAATTCCGTCATGAGTGTGTCTCTCGTCTGCTATCAAGAAGAACTCGCCAACTTTCATCCCGAGCCGTGCCGGTGCTGTCGTTGTTGCTGCTGTCGGCCATGGCGATGAACCACGACCATGACCAGCATCGCATCAACCCTCCTCACCACCTGTGCTCCGAATCAACACGTCCCGGCCCCGTACCCGTCCAGCAACACATCCAACTCCTCCAGCACCACCGCCACCACCACTGCAGCTGGAACCAACCCAACACGCACACGCTTCCATAAAAGACTTTAATCCGAGAAAAGCTGCCACACCACACCTGAGACAACCGAATTGCTTTTTTCCCTCACTGCTCCCACTCACTGGCTTTGGGGTGTCCGGGGAAGCCCTCCACGTCATCCGCCGGGCCGGCCCCCTTCCCCCCCCCTCCCTTGGGTTGCTCCTCGGGAGCTGGATCAGGAACTTGAGACTCCTCGTATCTTCTTCATCGAAGCCGGTGAAAGAGCAATTGAAGCCGGCCACCTGGCAGCAATCACCTGCCTAGATAGCATAGAGCCTCTTTGTCCACCGACTCCCGATACCGTCAGCCGGCCTCTCTGTCTGCAGTATCCCCGAGTATAAGATCCCGGCCACTTGGCACCTTTGCACACTCACCCCCTCCCGCAACAACAACCACCAGCCTACCATTTCATGATCCCCTACTCTGGTCATATCGAGGAAAAGACCTCGCTCCGTTGGCGACAACACTTTCGATACACCAGCAACCCTTACGCGGCTTCTCGGTCCGATATCTCACCCAACAACACCGACGCAGCCATGAGTGACCAACCCTTCCCGACTGCCGCCTTCAAGCAGCAGTACCACGGCATCGAGGTCTCCTTCCCTGCAGGACAAGGCGACTTCCGCAGCGTGCGCAACTCGTGTGCAGCAGCATGCCGTGCATTCAACAGCACACCAGAGGATGCCGACGTAAAAGTCCGCGGCGAGAAGTGGCTCGAGTACGTTTTATGTTTCTTATTCTCCGATCGGTCCCGGCCGAGTACCTCGGAGTTTGTTTCATGTGCCCTGTGTTTCGACGGCTAACAAACGTTTTTTTTTGTTTTGTTTCTTGTAGCATTGTCAAGCCCAACCGTCCTAAGAAGGCGGATGGTACTTCGGCAGAGGAGGGCACCATGGTCACCCACGACCAGGCCATCACCAACCCTACCCTCAAGGCCACCATCCCGTTTGTCAAGCCTCCTCTCTGGGTTGACTACGGTACTCGTCTCAAGGTGGCGAGCACCACCTTCATCAACCGCAACTGCGTGATCCTCGACACGCCCGTGGCTGACTTGATCATTGGGGAACGCTGCAACATTGGCACCAATTGCACCATTGTCTGCGTTGGTCGTAAGTTTTCTCTCTCCCCCTCTCTCTCCCCCCTTCTCTCTCCCTCCCCGGTCTCGTTTCTTTTCTTTCTCTCTGTGTGGTGTGTTCAGCTCAGCCTGCTTTCCCTTCCCCCCGCCTCCCTTCTCATGTCTCGGAATCATCCGGTCCGGGCAAACGGGAGCTGTTCCCGAGGATCAAGGTTGCGGGACCTTTTGTCTCGCACTGCTGCAGATGCATCCCAATGGGGAAGTCGATGACCAACAAGACATGACACTAACACACAACAACAGACCCAGTCAGCCTGGAAGGGCGAAGGACGACCAAGCTGAGCACCGGTGCTCCCGTCACGATTGGCAACGATGTTTGGATCGGCGCCAACGTCACCATCCTGTGAGTTCTTTTTCTTTTTTTGGGGGGTTCTTTTCATGATACACCTCTCAAATATGATTGGTCAGATTAACCCCCCCCCCCCCCCCCGGTTACCTGATGCTTTTTGCTGACCATGCAGACCGGGTGTCTCGATTGGAAACGGCGCAGTCATTGGCGCCGGCACGGTAGTAAACTGCAACATCCCACCCATGACCCTCGCCGTCGGGTCACCTGTCCGGCTGGTCAAGGCGCTGGCCCTCAACGAGGACAAGCCAGCCGTTTTGATCAAGACACTCGACGAGTCAAAGGAGCTGACCAACTCGTTACCCATGGAGCACTGGGACGGGACCGACGCTGCCTTTCGCGCCGCCCAGGCCGCGCAGCTCGCGCAAAAGAGCAACCGGCGGGGGGGGCAGCGAGCACCAGCGCGTGGAGGAGCAGCAGCGGGAGCGGCTCAGAAAGTCGGAGATTGTCGTCATTGCGGCTGTCACGACGGTGGTGCTCGCGCTGCTGATGCTGTTTAGCTTGTTCTTCTTTGCGGAGGCTGTATCTGGGGGAGAGCAGGGGCTGTTTGAGGAGCTCCGATCTCTGATGACACACCTCATCCTAACCCAGCAAGCAGACCTTACACGCTACACCAAACAACAACCCACCACACGGCCGGCTCTTGTCGTGGGCAACAACAACAACAACAACAACAACAACAACAACAACAACAACAACAACAACAACAACAACAACAGCTACAACAAAAACTTATACACATCGGAAGGGAATAAAGCCGATACTTAATAGAGGAGGATTCACACCAACAACGCCGACTCGACAAAAGGGACCCACAGAACAAACGAGCGACACCAAACACGCATTGTAACAACAACAACAACAACAACAACAGGAAGCAAGCAACAACCATATTTCTTTTTTTTCCTTTTCTTTTCACGGGATACCCTCACTTATTTCTCAGGGCAAAGGGTAGCGGGAGGGGGCAAATCAACAGAGGTTTTTTTTCCAGGACTCGGTTGGGAAACGGGGGGTTGGGGGAGGGGCGAATGGAAACGGGCAAACAAACATGGGTCGAAAAACAAACAGGGGATTTCATTTCTGGTCGGGGGGTGGGGGAAAGGGAAAGGGAAAGGGGACGGGGAAGGGGATTAAAAAGGCGTGTGTGTGTGTGTGTTGTGTCGTTGTGGCCTTTTCACAAAAACCCCCCAACTTTTGCTTTTTATAGTAGGTACCTGGTACGGGCATGACACAAGGTCTTTAAGGTAGCGTTGATATTTTTTTTTCGGTCTCTGATTTTGCCGCGTTTTAGCGTTTTTGTTTTTGCTGAATATATATACCCCCGGCTTTTTCTGAGCAATACTCTGTCTACACCACACACATGGCACCATGCAATATGTGAATCACAATTCAGCTCGTTGGGGGATGGATGTACAAAAAATTCCAGGTTGACGGCAAGCCACAACCTCTACTCTATTCATCAAAAAACAAAACACCAACATACCTTTATCCACCAAGGAAGCCCTCCTACTCAAACCTAGCAACCTCATACATATCATCCGGATCCTTCCCCTCCCTCTCAACAAACCCCCTCACCTCCCCAACCCTCTTCTCAATCTCCCCCAACACCTCCTCCCTGTTATCCCCCTCCCTCACCCCCTCCACCACCGCCCACCTAGCAACATCAAAACCTATTGACCCCATTCAACAACTTCATATCAATCGGAGTCGTCGTCGTCCCCTCCTCCCTATACCCCTCAAGCCTCATCCTCCCCACCCCCTCTCGTCCTCATCCTCCCCACCCCCTCTCGTCCAAACAACAACCCCTGCAGCTCAGTCGGATACCCATGATAATTAAACAACACCGGCCTCTCCCGCGTAAACAACTCCAAAAACCTCTCCTTGCTCAACGCATGAGGGTGCCTGCTCACAGGAGCAAGAATCATAAGGTCGGTAACATTCACCACTCTGACCTTCAACGCCGGACAAATCTCCCGGAGCAGTTCCGCCGCCTTGATAACCTCAAACGTGACCTCCACCCCGATGCCCACCAAGACAACATCCGGCTCCTCGTTCGGCCCGAGAGGGGTCGAGGCAAACTGCCAGATGCTCGCGCCTCGCCTGCAGTGTTCGGCCGCTTCTTCTGCAGAGAGGTACACAGCAGTAGGCTGCTTGGACCCGATGATGAGATTCGTATAATTCCTTGACCCGAGGCAGTGGTGAACAGTCGACAAAAAACAATTGGCGTCGGGAGGAAGATAAACCCTCGCAGCCTCAGCCTTGAGGTTAAGAACCGCACCAATGAAGCTGGGGTTCTGATGAGAAAACCCATTGTGCTCCTGCCGAGCCCAAGTGCTGGTTTCAATGTAGTTGATCGACGCCAAATCCCCCCTCCAGGGAACTTCCCGGGCGATCTTGACAAACTTGGAGTACTGCACCATCATGGTGTGGACAATACCCAAAAAAGACTCATAACTAGGAAAGATGGCAGTCCTCCCAGTCAGAGTATACCCCTGCATGAAAGCCTGGCAGTCATGCTCCGACAGCACCTCGATCACCCTTCCCCCGTTCCCCCTCGAATACTCATCCCACTGAAAGTTCCTCTGCGTGTGATCCAGTATCGCATCCAGCTTGTTGCTCTCCAGCTCATCCGGCGAAAACAACCTTATGCTCTTCGGATTCTCCCGAAACACCCTGTCCAAAAACTTGCCCGTAACCTTCATGCAGCTCTGATCAGTCCCCTTCTCCACCGTAAACTCCCTCCAATCAACCCTCTTCAACCCCTCATAGGCATCATACGTCAGCCTATTCTGCCCCAACCTCCTCTCCCTCTCCCGCGGTAAAATCCTCGTCACCTCCTCCGTCGGCCTTCCGTCCTTAACCAGCTCCCCAATCCGATAACTCTCAAGCCACTTCCCCAAGTCCCCCAGCTGTCCATCCTCCTCCCCCGCCTTGGGAAGCGGCACCTGATGCGAGTGAAAACTCCCCTCAATAATCTTCCCATCCACCTCCTTCGGCCCCGTCCACCCCTTCGGCGTCCTCAGCACAATCATCGGCCACCTCGGCTTAACCACTGCCCTCCCCTCCCTCGCCGCCTTCTGTATCTTCCTGATCTCCCCCAAAGCCCAGTCCAACCCCCCCTGCAACTCCTCATCCACCCGTTCCAAATCCTCCACCACCAAAACCTGATACCCATACCCACTAAACAAAGCCACAATCTCCTTGTCATCCATACACCCAAAAATAGTCCTCTCGCTAATCTTGAACCCGTTGACATGCAGTATCGGGATCACCGCCCCCGACTCCTTCGGGTCCAAGAATTTGATCGCATGCCACGCCGTAGCCGTCGGTCCCGTCTCCGCTTCTCCATCACCAACCACTACCGTGACGACCAAATCAGGCTTGTCCATGACAGCACCAAACGCCGCCCCCAGCGCATACCCCAACTCCCCCCCCTCATGAATAGCACCCGGAGTCTCGGCATTGATATGACTCGGAAACCCCCCCGGCACAGAAAATCTCGTCACCAGGTTATGAAACCCGCTTTCCGTGAGATCATACTCCCCGGGGTAAAACCTCTCCAGTGACCCCTCAAGCCATAAAGCAGCCAGCGCAGCGGGAGCGCCGTGACCGGGACCGATGACGAAAATCATTTCTAGGTCGGGGTTGTTTCGCAAAAGAAGGTTGAGGTGGGAATACACAAGGACGAGGCCAGGGCAGGTGCCCCAGTGCCCGAGGAGACGGGGCTTGATGTCGTTGTGGGAGAGGGGGTTTTGCAGCAGAGTGTTGGAGCGGAGGAAGATCATGGATGCCGCGAGGTAGTTTGCTGCTCGCTGGAAGGCTTTGAGGGAGGCGAGGTCGGTGGGGGGGAGGGGTTTGGGAGGGAGGGTGACAGATAGGTCGTGGAGGATGCTGTCTGGGAGGGAGGAGGGGAGGGCGGGGGGGTTGGGGATGGGGATTTCGGATCGGGGCATTTTGGTGGTGTTTTTTTCGGGTTGTCGTGATGTTTGTTGAAGGTTGTGTTTGCTGATACCTAGTGAGACCGTTCCGTAGTTGTGGTCGTATGAGTGCTAGTTCAACGGTAGGGCGGTGTCAAAGTGTCGCGGGCCGCGCCGTTAAACTAAATTGTATAGCGAACGGTCGTTGTCTGTGCGAGATGCATGCAATGGTTTGAGAGAGCGTTCGTTCATCGCAGTTTTTTGCAGTTTCAGCTTCGGATGGCAGGTTGATAACCCGCAGGAGCTCTGTCGTATCGATGACGTAGGGCAGTCCCACCAATCAACCCCCCTCCTGCACAACAACCAAGCTGTCGGATCGGCCCACTTTTCCCATTGGCTGTCATGACCCGGGAATGCCCTCACACAACGGAAGTCACGGAATCAAAAACGCTCATAGTGGCATCATATCCAAATCTATTACCCTCATGTATCCATAGGTTCTTGTAGTGTGAGGTAAGTAAAACCTACCGCCCCAAACCAAGCCCAACAACCCTCAAAGGCCACTCGATCCACTCCCTGTGCTCCTCATCCAAGATCTCATGCGCCCTCTCCACCAAGTGGTCCCCCCATCCCTGAAGCCACCACGTCCTCTCATGATGTTTCCACAGTATACAAAAATGCGCAAAGATGGCCACCGCTTCCGGTGTGGGTATCTTGAGCAGCGGCACAAGCGAGTCTGACACCTCCCACAACCACAGCATAGCATCCAACACATCCTTTTCCTCCTCCGCCCCTTCTCCATTCTGTTCTCGCGTGATGATCACCAACGATAACTCCAGCTCATCAAGAGCGTGGATATACGTAGCCAGTCGCTCTTGGGCACCCTCCTGGCCTTCTTGTTTCTGCATGCTACCCAGGATATTTTGTCTCAGAGCAGACAGCGGCCCCCATGCCTCTCCCATCTGGCTCTCTTGCATCTTTGCTCTGTGCGTCCTCCACCTCTGCCCTCCATACGCGAGAAACGGCGCTAGCATTGTCTCGTGGCCTCTCGGCCCGAGGACACTGCTCAGTGATTTGGCGCCCGTAACAAGAAACGTCCACTCTGGAAAAGACGATGTTTCGTTGATGAAAAAGGACCCCCCCTCTGAGTGAGGTCTCCTCGGACTTGCCAATGCTGTCGACCATGTCAGCACAAAGAGTCTTCCAACACTACCTGAACTGCAAGACCTACCAAAATATATCGTCAACATGCTAAACAAAAACAACCTCGCAGCCGCATCCTTATCCACCCGCAGCAGATGATGCTGCCCATCATCACTCAAATACTTCATCGCCTCCCTGCTCGCCTTCTGATGCAGCACCATCCCCTGCGCGGTATAAAAATCCCTCCTCTCCGAGCTCTCCTGATGGTAAGCAAGATGCAACGAACTAATCGCCAGCACAGCCCTCATGATAAAATCACACTTTAGCGCCGCGTCCACCACATCCACCCGCCAAAACTCCCGCACGCCAGCGTCAGACGCCAGAGTGAGATATGTCCTCGAGGTAAAGTTGTGCAGCAGCTCCAGCTCCAACAGCGGCAAAACATCCGACTCGACCGACTGAGAGTGAGGATACGGACCCGAAGGCGACGACGGCGAGCGGGACGCTCTCGTGGCAGTTTTGGCAGCATGCCTCGCACCACTGGTTCTGTTGGGAATCCCAAGCGTGACTGGAGTGGCGGTCCCCGGTGGAGCGGTGAGAAAAGGGCACTCGACCCCGTGCGAGATGCAGTTGAGACATGACGGGTGGCGTTCGTCACACTGGGGGAACCCGACAGTCTGGTTAGATCGGAGCTATCTAGATTTTGAAACGATCGGAAGAGTAGGGGGAGAGCGCAGACCTTGATCTTACGAGCCTTGCAGATGGCACAACCGGTGCGGCTCTTTTTGTGCGTCCTTCGGCCCGTGTACGTCAGGCCCACCGGTGGCTGCTGCTGTCGATGGGTCACGATGGTGGGGACGGGAGCCGGTGGTTGTGGTGGCACGTTCTGGCCACCATGTGGTGTCGGAACGTTGGATCCGAAGGGTGTGGGGGTCCCGGCTGGGGAGGAGGGACTGGGTGTCAACAAGCTGCTGCTGCTGCTGCTGCTGCTCGGGTTCGGGTTGGAGGAGTTGGACATGTGGGTGAGACTAGATGATTGGCTGGGGAACGTGTTGGAGTGAGATCGGTGAGATTGAGCGGGCGATGACAGGTTGGCCACGTTTTGGTCGTGAAACCGTCTGATTTCTGATGTTCTGTTCCTCTCAAGGTATCTTACAAATCAACAGATAGAAAAGACCAAACTCTGGACGAACACTCAGGAGGAACAGATGAAAAGACAGATAGCGCGGCTTTTTGACTGGTCAATGGCTTCTTGATGAGGCTGTGGTCCAGGAACCCGGATAGCGACCCCCGAAGTTCAAACTGGTCGGTGGGACTGCATCGCGCTAAAACCACCCCCGCAGATGCCAAGCAACGTGCCAAACGACTGTGGATCTGGGGCTGTCAAAAAATTCCAACGACGTCAGAGAAGAGCTGCCATCCCCAGCTTTTTGGGTGGTTTTGGGGGTGATCTTGAGTGCCTGACTTCTCGTCATCGAAGACCCATCCAAGATCTTCTAGAACCTAATTCACGATCAGGACAAGCAACCAGTCAAAGGCCTCATCATGACACAAATCCGAGCCCCATAAAGAATCTTCCTTTGGTGGACCCCTTTTGGCTTGGCAGCCTTGGTCAATAGCTACACCAAAGGGTGTTGATAGTCGTGTTCGGCTCAATCTTGAATTTTCAACCAATCAAAACCCAAACAGCAAATATGAGAGCCAACACCTAGAGGCGAATCTACTCGCTTTCGCAAAGCCCACAAAATTCCACATTCCTTCCTATCGCAGCCGCATTGTTGAACAGAGCAAAGCCTCGACCCGGAGCTCAAACACCGCAAGGAGAAAGAGATTACATCCGGCTGCGAGCACGTCAGCACGAAGCGCCAGTAATGCTCATTGCTACCAGGAGCTCGGGCTTTTGACAAACCCGAACGAACTGATGGATCTTACATAGATGATCCGCTGTAGCTCACTCGAACTTGTGTTTTTTTAGACCAAGACAATCCCATCCGCCTTCCCGTCCCTCGCCTTTTCTTTCCTTCAACCTACTTTCAACAACATCAGCGTTTTTACACTCTTTTTCTGACGTTGTTTTCCTCACGTACACGCGGTTTTTGGATAGACTGACGGCAATTTAGAGGATAGACAGATACCACGACGCAGGTCTATACCCCTGAAAACTCGAGCTTCCCACTCCACCCCCAGATTCAATCCTGAGATCTCAACACTCAACAGCAACCATATCCAACGTCCCAACCCGGACACCACCCCGCCAGCAACAAACAGCAGCCAAAATGACTGACACCGACCTCACCACCCTCCCCCCGAACTTCTACCCCACTTACGAAACCTGCCCCTCCATCTCTCCCCTCTGCCCCGTCAAGGCCACAACCCTAGGCTACTCCCCCAACCTCCCCGTCAACGTCTTCCTCGCCGTCGGCTTCGGCCTTTTCGGGATCATCACCCTCCTCACCGGCCTCTGGAAAAAAACATGGGGCTTCTCCACCACCGTAGCAGCAGGTTGCATCCTCGAATGTGTAGGCTACATCGGTCGCGTCCTCCTCAGCGAAAACGCCTGGAACGCCGACGCGTTCAAGATGCAGATTGTGGCTATTGTTCTTGGCCCAACGCTGGTGTGCGTCGGGTTGTATCTCACGTTACGACACATGGTCATCAGCTTGAACCCGGAGATGTCGAGGATCGCACCGAGACTGTACCCGATATTCTTTGTGCCCGCGGATGTGAGCTGCTTGGTGATTCAGGCCATTGGCGGGGGGGTTGCGGCCGCGGCGGGGAGGGATAATTATGATATTTTGAAGCACGGGAATCGGATCATCATGGCGGGGATTGTGCTTCAGGTTTTGGTTCTGGGGGCGTTTGGTGGGTTGGCGGGCGATTACCTAGTCAGGGTGAGGAAGGGTTTTAGGCAAAACCCTGGGATGGAAGGGAGCGCGCTGTGGAAGGATGGGAAGTTTAGGGGGTTCTTGTGGGCGATGGGGGGCGCGTATGCTGCGCTGTTGATTAGGTGTGTTTACCGGATTGCTGAGATGGCGGGAGGGTGGGGGAATCATATCATGCAGCATGAGTCGAGCTTTGTGGTGTTGGAGAGCTTTATGGTGCTGATTGCGTGCGGGTTGTTGGCTTGTGCCGCGCCTGGGGTTTTGTTCCCTGAGATGTCGCATGACCAGAGGGTGAAGAATATGGGCAAGGGGAGGCAGCAGGGGGGTGTGGATGTGGAGAGCGGTGCGGGAGAGAAGACTAGAGGTATTGGTGCTAGTGCCAGTCCTTCTGATACGGAGAGGCGGCCGGGGACTGGGGAGGGAATCTGAGAAGAAGGCTTGGGATAAATTGGGATATGTGGCGACGGATCTTGAAGACATGCTGAGATCAGGACTGGAGTTCAAAGTCATTTTTGTCCCTTCCAGGCAAACAAAAGCTTTCACGCATGAACTCGAATGCATCTGAGCATAAAATGTGGCCCTGGTCGTGCGGCTGAGCCACGTGGGGGTCCGGAACTCCGAAAAAAAACACTGTCGAGGTTCATTCTCAAGATTCCAGCAGTTCAGAGCCTATGTCGAAGCATAGTTGTAAAAACAAGTCATATGCCGCAATGTACAAACCTTATCTTCACCGTTTACCCGCTAGAACTATTGGGAAAAGCGAGAGTTCCATCACCACATCGCTTGGCGCGTGGCCTGGAATCTGTATCCGCTTCGTTGGGCTGACGCCAAGCCGTTCTGGGATGCCATTTTCAACGCCGAGACAAAATTAGGGGTCCAGATTGGCCGGAAGAGCCCACTTGTCATGTCGAGATCTTGTGCCGCCGCTTGACCCCTTTTGGACAGGGGGTGCGGCGCAGGCAATCTCGTTCTTTTCCCCCACTGGGTTGCGGGATGCTGCCCTCCTCCCTACCTCCTTTTCGCGCCCGATCGCGTCTCTGCGCGGCACATTTCCATCTCCATTTTGACTACCTTGGTGGCCACGGGGAGGAAGGACAAGCATCGGCAACTTTCGTTAACGTCCCAAACCCAACCCGGCGATAGGTATATATCCTCATCCAGCATGGCTGTCAACCGGGCCTGGGCCGCCGAGGGCTTACGGTCTTTTTCCAACCGTCCGCGTCCTGTACCGACTAGGTTCTGGGTTATCAGTTTGGCTAGCATCTTCATTCTCGCGTTGCTCTTCATCGGCCACACATCTGACAGTTTGCCGTCAATTCCTGGCTTGAACAAGGAGCCTGAGAAAGCTCAACCACCGCCGCCAACACCCGAGTCCAACGACCCACCAAAGGGACCAGCAAAGAACTACGACCCTGAAGAATTCGACCTTGATGAAAACGGGCTGAAGATATGGGCACCCCCACACATGGACGCCCTCGTCCACGGAGTCCACGCCTCTGACGGCGTCAAGAGAAAGCCAACATACCCCCTCGACCCCTTCCCCCAAACACCAATGACCTCACCGGTGCAAGACAACCGTCCTCGCCCCTGGCTCGGAGCCGTCATCTGCTCCGCCTGGGACATCAAACGCCGCATGCTGATCCGCTACACCTGGATGAAGATGTTCAAAGACGTGCCCATGGACCAACGCTTCGTCATCTCCAACCCCGGCCCGGACTGGCGAGCCGTCATCCAGCAGGAAAACGCCACGTTTGGCGACATGATTGTGTTGGACCACCTCCACGAAGACGACTTCACCGCCAACACGGTGAAAACCGTAGAGTTTTACCGGTGGCTGTCGGATAAGTCCCCGGTGAAGTATGAGTTTGTCTCCAAAATGGACACTGACCTCTGGGTCAACGCTCGTGCGTATTGGGACCGGCAGCTCCTCCCTAGACTGGACGTCGTCAAATCTGCCGATGGCAACACAGTCACGGGTTATAAAGCAAACGTCAACCACACCACCATCGGGCAGTTTTATTATGACAATTATCACCGCACGGCGTTTCCTCATGGGGCGATTTACACTGTTACTTGGGATATTGTTAACTTGCTGCCTAAACTGCAAGATAAACACCACATTATCGCCGGGGAGGACGTCACCATGGCTTGGCTGCTTATCAAGGGTCATCAAAAAGTCACCATGGCCATTCTGACGCAGGAAGAGAAATTCGAATTCGACCACAAGGACACCCGGCCAGGGGAGAGGACTCCCTGGGCGAGGAAGGGGACGGATGTTACTTCTAGCTGGCATGCTATGTACGGGAGTGAGATCTTGGCCATTCACCAGCTCAAGAAGGATGATGACTGGCTTATGGTGGCGGAGTGTTTTGACGAGAGGGGGATCAAGGAGATGCCGCCTTATCCCGAGAAGGAGCCCGAGGATAAGGGGGAGAAGCCGGGGTATCCGAGGCCGTTTTGGACGCAGATCCCGAATGACTTTTGGGAGACGGATGTGGATGGGACGTTGCTTTGTAATGGGATTTGGAAGTTGGAGCCGGGGGTGGGGAGGGATATGAAGAAGAAGCCCAAGGGGGAATGAGGTGAGATATAATGTGTATTGTCATGGGGTTTTTTTTTCTGTGTAAATGTTAGGTATCTTATCTGGGCATCTATGTCGTTTTGTGGAGTTGATGGTTGGGCAGACAAGTGGTGCCCTGTCTGGGAAGATGCCCGTGACGATAATGGATTGGATATAAGCTTGGTATAGAGAATTATATAGAACTGAAAAAATAAAATTTAATCATGGCTATGTACAAGGATTCTTATGGCTCAACTTCCAGCGGCTTATGAAATCCAAAATTCCACGGTGACCAAATCCCCAGCCATCCTACGTGTGTCAGTTGCTTGGATCAATTCATGTTGAAGTCAGCAGGTGTGCTCTTCCTGTTCTCACTGAGGACCGGTCCACGGCCTTTATCTCCCTGCTCGCATCGTCAAACTCACGGCTCCTCCCCCGACAGCATTATGCCGCCTTGGTGTCATGTAAGCTACCCACTGCCTAGAAGTCCAGTCCCAAAGAGGGGAAGGATCCCCGCGGACCCACTGACGCAAATGTTGTTCCCAAACGAGACCATATATCCAGTGCAATGGGTAT